AAAAAAAAAGAAAATAAAATTCAAGATAACCAAAAGTACAGAGTCTTATGAAATAGAAAACTAACACATAAGGAAGTATAAATATAAATATTGATATTGGATAATTAAATACATAAGAATATAAGTGTCTTTAATGTTTTTTTATAGGGTCATAATAGTAAATTAAAAAAATTTCACTTAACTACTTTTATTAGTAACATAGATATAAATGAATGATGCAACTTGGACAAAAAATATTATTCAAAATAGCATTTCTCATTAGGAACGATCCAAACACAAGCCTTGTTGCCCGTCCGATATGTACCTATCCCTTGCCTGGCGCCATATAATCTTGTAGCCAAACAGTACGTAAACTTTCCTAAAACCCTCTAGTTCTCAGGTCCAGCTCCTCTGCGGTTGGGGAGTTACAGCATAACATGCGGTTTAATAAAACGCCACCGTTTTACGGCATTTTGGATTATTTTTTTTTTGAAAATCCTACACCAAAAACGACACCGTTTTTGGTCCTCCCAAATCAGACCCAACATCGTTCACAAAACCCCCAAAATGACCAAAACCCTAAACGGTGATCAGCATCTCCAAGACCACGATCAGCATCTCCAAGACCACAATTAGCTTATCCAAGAGGAAGATCAGCAACTCCAACACCAAGACTAAGGTCAGTAACTCAGTATTCTTCATTTCTGAGATCCATTTCGTGTACAGTGATTTTGTCCTTCAACATAACCAAATCGACATATATATGTTCAGTTCGTGTATATATATGTGTGTGTATTTATTGTTCAGTTCAATGTGTGTGAAAACAATGTTCAATTCGTGTATATATATTATTCTATGTTTATCTTGGTTGCAGCATCCATGTTAATTAGTTTGAATGTTTCTCCCTCTCTATTTCCTTCTTTTGTCCCAACCCAATCTACTTTATTGGATGTTTTAAAGATGTTAATTTATGCACAACTGAAGTTGATTACTATTTTAGCAAATTGAGTTGTGTAGATATCATCCATTTGTGCATATTGTTACTTTATGAGAAAGGCTACATTTGATCTATTACGTGCAGCGAGTGATTGAGCAATTTTAACAGAGAGGTGGACAACTTTAGATTTTGAAATCACCAACAATGTTCATGTTATATGTGTGTTTATGCAATTGAACTGTGTTCAGAAAGTTTCTATGAGATGATTGTGCTTTTAGTGAGCTACAATGGCCTGTAGTTCATTATGAGTTGGACCTGTAATTTGGTTTAGTAAAGGAGCTAAGATGATGTTGTAGCTGAAGGGTTACTGATCTGGTGTTTTATAGTTTTCTACTCTTTTGTGATGCTACAGGGTAGCAGATGTTGATCTGTGTGTTGAAGGAGCAGTCCATCTCATAGTTGGAGGAGAGATGAGCTATGAGAAGTAGAGCAGGAGCTGAGCTATGGAATACATAGCAGTGATAGAGGAGGGATTTCAGCAGCTGGAGGTATAGGTCCAGGTTTTGGCTATTGCTTGCAGGCAGTCTATGGTTTATTAAGGCCAAGGCCATGGATTGTTTTTGCTTGGATGGAGGGGCAACTGGTCTATGCTTGATAAATTCTTGGTTTTAATCCTGTTGAAATGCACACATCTGATTGAGTTTGGACTTGTTTCCAAAATACCATAGGGCATATAGCATATAGGTGTCTGATGAAGTGCATTGCCAATCTAAAGAATACTATGCATGTAAACTGGGATTTGCCATTACAAAATCTGCCTTTTGATTTGCTATAAGAATACAACACTCCCTTGTGAGAATATTATAGATGCTAATGTAGATGCAATGTTTACTGGCTTCTGTTTTGCTACTGTGCTGCAATGTTTGCTGCAGTCTCATCAAGGTTGCTGCTATGTTTGCTGCTTTGTGTGTTGAATATCATTATGCTATAATGTTGAGTTTTAATACCAGTGTCCTTTCATGTTTGTAGTGTTGAAGAATAACATCTTCAAGCACGACAACAAGCAACAGCGAGTTAAGATATCGCAATATGCATTGTCCCATTTGTAGAAAAAAAAATGATTATTAAAGTTTTCAAATTTGAAAAAAATCCTGGGAAGCTATACTGCAAATATCTAGATGATTCCAATCACTTTTTTAAGTGGATGACTCCTATATATCTCCCCTCCTCGAAAATTACAAATGAGAGGATGGATGTACAACGAATTGAAAACAATGTACGACGAATTGAAGAACTTTGTTATGTAGTTCAACATGCTGAGGCTAAAGAAGGTTCAATGAAGTCAAATATGCTTGTAGTCACTTTAGTAGTGGTGATGCTTATATTTGTGATTGTAGTGAAGTAGAGCTATAAGAGCAATGATGTAGTGATGAAACTTGCGTTGTAAATGAACTTGATGGTTTAATTTGAATGAAATTGTGGGTTTTGTATATTGTTGTAACTTGGAAGATCATATTCATCAAAAAAGATCACATTCATTAAAGAAGATCACATTCATTAAGAAGATCACATTCATTAAAAGACCACATTTATTAAAAAAAGATCACATTCATTAAAAAAAGATCAAATTCATTAAAAATACAACAAGCATCCTTACAACTGCTAGTAGTCTCATTAAAAATAAATAGTTTTCAACAAAATGAGAAATTGAGTAGTCTCTATCTGCATCCTTATAATTGCTGATCCCCTAAACATCCTTACAAGTTGTATCCCCCATTCATGAAAAATGATTCAACATTATTTAAAGAATGCACGTGTGTTGAATCAGTCGAAGTACCTTATATTAATGAGAAGGGGTCAGACAAAGAAACTTCATAAATATGTGAAACAATAAAATTAACAATAAGGTAACACACCATAACACTTTGTACACTATTTGAAGCTTGAGAAAACATCAAATGACCATATGTTGATGTACATGGCTGACTGAAACCTTGTACCTGAAATACAAAAATACTTACAATTATGTGAATAAAAATATGAAGTGAATTAAGAAAATTTACAATTATATTTATACAATACCGTAGACATATTTAATGGTTGAGAAGCTCATTTTTTCCTCTTTGTTGCTTTCTCATGCTAAGATTTTAGTCGACCCTAACCCTTGTAACCTCCTTCTTTTCTTTTTAAACATTTAACTTGGAGAATATTTGAGTCAACATTTTCTATTCCACTTGGGTCAACATTTTCATGAATCGAATCATCGCTACCATCACCAATTGATGCATACTATTTGTTCTTGTCTCTACTCAAGGCTTCCTTATTTGACACTCTCTTTTATCACGACCCCTTTGACCTTGTTTACAACAAACATATTTTCTATAAATGACAACGCCATCTTTCAAACTTTTATTTTGAAAATCTTTTTTTACGCTAAATCCCACAGACCCTCCATAACTATTGTAAAATGCATAAGCATATTCCTCTGCATCAAATTGCATACCAATATGAGGTATATTATCAGTCGCATTAACCCCCAAATCATCCATCATAGTATCCTACAATAAAAAATTTAATTGAAATGATATTAGATGGAACTAGATGTCATGTACATAAGGTTACATAATTCTTAAGAAAATTAATCATTATTCCATTAACAAGCCAATAAGAACAAAAAAAAAACATGTACAAAGAAATTGGCATGAAGTTTTATGGCTATGGAACACCTATAAGAGGGAAAAAGATTTCTTCATACCATACAACAACTGTCATCTTTTTGCAAAACCAGATCAAATAGAGAAACCATGACAACAAAATGAAGCATGATAAAACTCTAGAAAGGCTAAGGTGGTGCCAGAACTCCATGAGCAGAGCTAATATTGGTACTTTTTTTTTTCTAAATTTGGCAAAAAAATTGATAAACCAAACCAAATTAAACCAAACCAAGTCTCATGTCTCAATCATTTGGGTCGGCTACTGTAGTCCACCTTCGTCATTCACTTCCGTCATGATATACGCTCATTGGCAAAAGATTAATACACATAATTTTTGTAAAAAAAACCATGTCCAAGAGAACAGTTCTTTGCAAACAGAATAAGCAGTGACATGAACTCTTTTTTCTTTTCATTTTTGTACCAGAAATTCTAAAGACTGCATATTTCTCCATTATTCATTACAACAACATAGAAGATTACAAAGGAGGAATCCCTTACAATCACATAGAATCCAGAAAAACTAGTGTTTTTTACTAGAACAATAATGAAGAAATCCCAACTTGGAAAACCCTATAATTCAAACCCAAAACAATCATTTACTCCTTCCAAATTAAACACCCAGAAAGAAACTCTAAAATTTTGGTTTTTACTTATAAAATTCAAACTAGTCTAATCAAAACAAACTTGCAGTCATTTGAGTAGTTACACACATTAAAAATCACATCTTTACATGTAAATCCAAAAAGAAAAACTACAACTATTTGAAATTACACTTATAAAATGAAAATGATTATATAGCAAAACTGATTGAGAAAGAGCAACAGAAACAACATACCCACTAAAACTTTGTATCTCAGTAAAGGGAAAAACAGTCATAAGAACCTATTCATGGACTTAAAACTCCATGTTTATACTTTTTCTCCCACTTCTCTTGCTTATGCCCTTTCAGTTTTTGCTGTAAAAACAAAACAAAACCATTCTGGAGAACCAGACCCGACGAAGAGGACAACTCTATATTAAGGACAAGACAACTTCAAGGGTTATGCAAGAGAGAATGCTATTAAGGACAAGACAACTCTATATTCCATCACATATCTTCTCATATACAGTATGACATATATGAAGCAAAAGTGCACTGAACTTGAGTTGGAGAACCAGGCTTGACGAAGAAGATGAATGGAGAAGTTTGAGCTGTGAAGAAGACGAGAGAACCAAACCCAACGAAGAAGAAACAAGAGAAAGAAAAGGGAGTGGTTTGATGTTGATTTAAAGAATTAAAACATGTCCTTTTGGTAAAAAAAAAAAAAAAAAAAAAATTTAGTGAAACGCCGGCGTTTTTTTATACCGCATGATATGCGACAATTTCCCAACCGCAGCGGAGCCGGACCCCAGGATCTATGCTCTTTACGTTCAAAACAAGAACCCTAAAGCCCTACGCGGTCCGAAACCTCAGAGAAACCAATGACGGACGATCAATCGCAGACGTTGGTTTACAAACAGCGCTCACTTGATAAAGGGTCTTATTCTCCCGAACGTCCTTCGAAGATCGCCAGAGTCAACGAGCAAGACCTCATCGACGGAGACGACGAACACGTGGAAGAGCAAAGAGAGCCCACTGTTGGTGACCGAGCGATGATTCAAAACTCTAGAATTCAAAGGTACTTAGTCGCGATCGAGTATATTGGGACTCGGTTCTGTGGGGCACAGAAACAACTCAATGACAGAACCGTTGTTGGTGTTCTCGAGGTAATTTTATGGTTTCTCTCTCTATGTTTGGTTGCTGAGAAAATGAAGAAACTGTTTAAGTGTTGAAGTTTCTGTAAAACACTTTTTCTTGAATCATTGTTTTGTTTTTTGTTTTCATGTAGGAAGCTTTTCATAAATTCATCGGACAACCAGTTTCAATCTTTTGCTCAAGTCGAACTGTAAGTTAATGTAGCTTGCTCATATGCTACTGCTAGCTTGATGCTGGTTAAGTGTATAAAATATTATTTAAAGCTTCATAAATAATCATGAAACATAATGGTTCTCTCTCATGAAAGATAGATTTAATTAAGGACTCGGATGTGTTTTTTTGTATAATTTCTCTGGAGTTAAGCTATTTATCTTTGAGATTATATGGTGGCAAACGAACATTACCATTGCTCATTGATTTATTGGAGACAGTGAGGTGATTTATGATTCACTTCAGGACAATGATGATGCTTTTGGTGGCTTTGAATTGGCATTGGTGTTGAAATAAGAAAATAAATAATTTTAACTCTGTTGCTATTTTGCTGCAATTCCAATTTAACGACCCCAACTCTATGCAACCAAATGCAACATAAGTGTTTTCAACAGATGGGAGAGCATTTTAGAAACAAATAGAATGATTTAGACTTGATATTAAATAAAGAAAATGGTCTTTCTTGATCTTGCATAGACCTTTCTTATTGCACTTGGAAGCTTTTGACTATTTAGGAGTTGAAAGAAGCAATTTTTGATTTTTCTCCCATTTTTAGGTGTAAATGGGTGAATAGATCATTCCTATTTTACAGTGTAAAGCTTCACCTATTTTCCTCCCATGATGCATCTGATGATAATGAATTATCCATTTTTCCTCCTTTACATTCTAATATTTATTCAGAATGTATATTTCCATGCACATCAAATTTGCAGTTGATCTTTGTGGCTATTGTCTCTGCTACTTGTCATGTTACCTTATCTAAGACATTGGAAGGAAGTTTAGTCTTCACCTGTTTAGGATGCAGGAGTACATGCCTTATCAAATGTTTGCCATGTAGATGTGGAACGGATAAGCAAAAGGAAAATTGGTGAAGTGGTAATACACTTAACCTTTTTGATAATATCTTTTTCTCTTTCTGCTTTGTATATGATTCGCATAGAGTGTCAATTAATACTAATCTCTTCTGAATTTTGTTTCATATGTTGGATGTATAAGTTGTTAGTTGTCACGGGCATCAAACTATAAATATTGGTCGGACATAAGCCTTGGTTATTACAACTTACATCAACTAATCTCACAACCTATGAAAGAACAACTATTTTTATCATTATTAACAAATATCTATCGCTGTAAATTGAGGTATTGCTGATAATTGACAAACTTGTTTGGAAATTTGGCTTTTCACTTACTTTCCTAGAAAATAAAATCATTTACTTGCTGTTTGTGTTAAAACTGTTCCATAATGGCCAGTTTTAGCAGATAATCTTGCAGTTGATTAGCTACAAAAGGATACAGGCTTATAGTCTGAGACACATCTGAAGCTATCTATGCGTATAGACCTATATGTCTTAGTTTAAGCAGACACAGGCTGACATCTGATTACCAGAAAAAGGATAAATGCTTATAGTCTGATGCACATGCCTAGCAATAATATGTATGTAGAGTTATATGTCTTAGATTTAGCAGATTCTAGCTTACATTTGATTATTGAAAAAAGGTACATGATTATAGTGTGATAAATTTGGTGAAATTTAATGGTGGTCATGATACTAATATTTAAAAGGCAATTTTTTTGGGGACATAATAAAATTAACATTATGCCTATGAATTTGTAAGAAAAATCTTTGCACTTTAGATGTATATATATTCTCTTATTGTTACATTCTCAGGGATGAAGGCATGATGGGGGCTTGGTCCCCAATCCCCGCACCCCCAAGTTCATAATGGTATTTATTATTATTACTTAGTGCACACGAACGATGTACACGGACCATTTAGAGCTATAAAACATTTTCACAAAAATTTTACTAAAGCAAAATTAAAAATTATAGACTTAAAATGATTTTTTTTTTGTTGAAATTTAGTGCATGCAAGCTCTTTGCAATGTGGTTTGATAGTGGTTAGATGAGACTTTTTTTCTTTATGGATTTGGTGGTAAAAAATAATGAGACCAGCTATTTGAGAAGACTACTAACCCAATGTGAAAATAGAGTAAGAATCTGTAAGCAATTAATAACCAATATATGTTAATGTTGTGGAGACCTATTGATGCTATAGGAAGAGGGATTGGAAAAGAAATTTATATCTAGGTATACTGTTTAATAAGAGTCCAGAAGAATTTGGAAATCATATATATGCATGCATCAGATGATTTGCTGGACAAAATTACAAACTGTGGTTTTTGTGAATAATGTAATTTGACGGGGCTAGATTGACCTTTTTATGCATACTTATGAAAGTCTACAATAGTACAAAAGGATTTGAAAGTCAAAGAGTCCAACATATAGGCAAATATATGTATGTATAGTTGGATGGCTATAATTTATGTTCAAATAGGATATTGAAGGAATATGGAAGTTAACATAATAATTATGGATAAATTACAGGATATGTCAGGATATTGATTGGGATAAAATAGGAAATCAAAAATTTTCTCAGTTAGCTAACATTTATAAGTGGGAAATTGGGAATGGATTCTTCAATAACAAATGCCCCCCCTCTTTTCAAAAATAAAAAAATTCCAATATAACAACCAGCTAAAATGCAATAAACAAAACCTTCTAGAAAATTGCAATAAACAACAGTGTCTTACAATACAAAAAACGTATAAGAATTTTGGTGTTAAGCATACATTAAATATTCTCAGTTAGTTTTCCTTTCTGATGGGAAAAACACCATTTTTTTAGTATACCAGAGGGAGGGAGATGCTGGGGGGAAAAGACTGGTTTATTAGTATACGGGAGGGAGGGAGATGCCGAGTGAACAATGTACACACACTATTGCTTTTATCTTCATTTATATTACATCATAGGTTTGCCACATTCCTGGTTCTTTTCTTAATGTCTTCTTGTTCTTTACCTGTGTATTCATGGGTTTTGAATTCTGTTTTTTGAATTGACATGCATTACTATATTACCCAGTTTATTAAATTCTTGATGCTGTTTGATTTCAATTTATGGGAGTGATGTTAACTTTGGAACCACTTTACTAGATGTTAAAGCTGTTTTTGTTAGTCATTTATTAAATTCAATCGACAAGTTCCAGCTTCTTCAATAACTTTTTTGGTGGTGTCATCTCAGTGCATTCTCCTTTTGTACTGTTGGAGATGGATAGGAAAAGGATCTTACACCAGATCACTCTTCTGGCTAAGGAATTTGATAGGATCTCAGCCTGCTTCTGTTAGGGGTGGAAAGCGGTCAACCTCCTCCTTGATTTGTCATTTGCATGTTGACCACTGTTAATCTAGTTTTGGTCGCTAGTGTTCTAGAATTAGTCCCTTGTTGTCGGCAATTTCACAAGCCTTAGGGATTTAATTTTGTCCTGAGCTCTATGATTTGATTTCTCTTTGCGCTGCAGTGACTGATGGGTTCTAAGATTTCCTTTGTTCTTGACACAACACAATTCATAATCATTTTGTGATTTAAAGTTGATTTTCTTCTGTGTTTTGGTTGGATTTCTTATCCACCATTGTGCTTTTCCAACTTCCTCCGAAATGAAAGTTTGTATTTATAAAAAATTGCTCCGTAATTTGGTTCAGATCAACCAATGTAGCTGGCGGTTTATGTTCAAGTTACACAACTATGCCTTCATTCACACTATCAAAGTCCTCGATATTTTTTCTCCCTCCAATCCCTGTTGCTTGCTTTAGTATCAGAGCTGCTCAAGCTTACCCGTATTGGTAATATTTCATGCTTGCTTAGAAGATCTATTACCTTGTCCCTTATGGACTGTTGCATTATTAAAATTAGTGTTATTTGTAGTAAATTTTCACCCAGACACCCACAGCACAACATCTATCTCTCTCTCTCTCTGTCTCTCACCATAAACACAAATGCACAGCTGTCAAATATTTATTCTCTGCTACATTTGTTTTGTATAATTGTCAGAGCTAAGAAATTTGAGTATTCATCTACAACTGATTGCTTTGTTTACTGCTTTCATTCTTGTTATCATGCAGTTACCGCCTCATGAACCTGCAGTGGTCAAAAGAGCTGTAAACCATTTCTTACAGGTGTGAGTTCCTTTGGTCTAACAAATCAAATATTTACAAACTTATCTGTAAGCCAGTAATCCATGACTTGTGAGGAATTTGCACAAAAATAATCCATGATTTAAGAGAAACATATGTCCCAAAACTGTGACAGAAGTTTGTTTGAAAGTCGGGCTTATAACCGAATGGCAAGAGCAACCTGTGACAGCATTTTATATAAAAATCGAACTACATATTCACAACATCCATCAAACTACACACCATTACGATGATATTCTAACCAGTCATTCATATCAAAACTTAACCATCCGTTGAAGTGCTTAAAACAATACCACAATATAAGGTTTACGTCCCAAAAACTAAGTCAAAACGACAACTATAATAGTAACTTATCCCAATACAACTCTAAGAGTTTGTAACATTATTCCAAATTAAAACTATTGATCAATCCTTTAACCTCATTGTCAAGATCAACATCTGGATCCATCTTGGGTTCAACCTCCAAATCCTGTCTCAAATTCCACACCCAAAAATGAATTTGTTAAATAAAGGGTGAGCACAACTAACTTAGTACACAATCTTTTCCCAATTATAAACAAGGTTTTAAAACAATAAAATTAGGTACATGTCACTTTTCACATATATGTATAGCATTTATAATAAAGCAAGAGTATAACTTCAACATTACAAGAGAATATAGCCAAAAGTTTCATGTATCAGTAGCATAAATCAATTCAATGAAACGACATTTAGATCCAACTACCAAGAATGCATCACACCGAACATCGTACAATATCCAATCAAACAATAATAAACCTCGGGGCGCTTGAGGGAGGATTAGTTTCGAGAACCAGTAGCGCCACACAGGCTACTTCAATCATCCGAAACTCCTAACCGGTTCTCCTAATTAGTAATAGGTTCTTGGAACCTTGCAAGGAACTATAATCATCTACCAACTCTTGGTGTTTAGGTGAACTAATAGTGGGAACCCGTGGCACCATGAAGGCCACCACAATTATCCACTACCACTAACAGGTGCGCCTAGGGCTAGTAGGAACCATTGGAATCTCACGAGGAACCCAAATCATCTACCACCTTCTGATATGAGTCGGGTGCATTCAAGTTCATTGAACCAAGAAATAGGTACACACACGTCTATTTCAAAAATCATGTTTTTGATCAAAACCATTGGAAGAACAATTATATAGCTATAGAATCCAACAATACTACTCAAGCTTAAATGTAAACGAATATTCAAAAATTAGGGTTTGTGAACCCATAATATGCACCGTGAGAAAGATCGTAATATACTCTAAAACACCCCATATGTTCCATTGGAAATCAAAAACCACTTAGTTATATGGAATATAGAGGTTTGTAGAGAAAACTCTTTCAAAACAAATCTAGGGTTTCACAACCTATGACATGAAACCAGTGAAATCCATGTTTACCAATATCCAAAGTATCTTCATTATAGGCTTGAAACGAGATCAAATACTTCATGTTTTTAACAAATAATCTTCAAGGAATCCAAATTTTGTATGATATAGCCCAATGGTTATGAATAGGACAAGAAACCCTACCTTAGATCAAGTTCCAAATCCTAGGTATTGAAATCTTCAAGAATCCCAAGTCGTCCTAGCCTCCTCCCACCTTACTCTCTGTAGATCTCCTTGCTATCTCTCACTAATATTATGTTTAGGGTTGAAGAGTAGAAGAAAAACAGGGAAACATCGGGGTTGGGGGTATTTATAGGGCCAAAATAATCCCAAAACGACGATTTTCATCGTCAGATTTCACCTTCCAAGCATTTAGAGAGCCCTAGAGAGCGATTAAAGAATGGTGCAATTTGGAGGGTGATTTTCTTAAGGAATCATTTGACCGGTACATTTTTAGCTCAAGTGCCCTTCTTCAGCGTAGCCCCTAATGACCCAAATGTCCTCCCTAGGCCATCCAAAAACCCTTTAAACCTTCCTACCAATTTTCATTGAAATCCTATAACTTGAAGCGCCATTTTACCCCTCTGGACCACTATACGAACCAAATGTCTATTCTAAGGTTTCTCGACGTTTCGAGTTTAGTAATGATGTCATTTTAAACAAAAAAAATTTAGAAAATTATGCATTCATCCCTCTTAAGTTCAAATGTACTCAATTTGTTTCAAAAGCCAATACACAAAAAATATGCAATCTACGTGATGACTTTTTTCTAGAAAATGAACCTCCTAATATCTTTTTAATCACTTTAGAAGTATTATTAAGATTTATATACTATATATTCAAATAAATTGTGGGGTCTTACACAATATATCGCCCAATATCAAATACATATTGATAAGCTGCAAAGCTAGTCATTTTTGATATTGTTTCTTTCTTCCCTGCTTCCTTATATTTGCTCAGGACCTTAAGCAAGTTTGCTGAATGTTTAAGTGTTTTAAATGAGTAGATGTGACATTTTTCTAAGGAATCTTTATTTCTAGGTTTGCACTTCTCTCAATCATGACCAATGTGCCTGTCTTGTCCTTGCTTAATTTGACCAAATTATTCCTTGTTAAGCGGTGAAATCTTATGCTTTTATTTTATATTGGCCATTTATCTTATTTTCACATGGAATGCTTGCCATCTAATCAGGAAGATACACTTGAATGCCCTGGCTCCTAGTCAACAGCCTTTAGGAGATGCTGACACATTATTTATCATGTTTTGCTGCAGAAGAATGAGGGTGATATAATGATAATTGATGTGAGATGTGTTCCAGCTGATTTTCATGCTAGATATAAAGCTCAAGAGCGCACGTAGGTATCAACAATATCAAACTGTTTTGTATATATTATTATTACATAGTGAGGTATGCTGCATCTATGTGTGGATTTGTGATTCAACACGATCTGTTTGGTGCACAACTAGTTGACTTCTTGTTATCTCATTTGATAATGGTTGAAAGTAAGACTCAATGGCATTTAGCTCTTTGTTGTGATTCAGTTGGTGATATCCACTCCCCCCGGGGGGGGAATGTTATAGTGCATTGAATTTAGGCTATATAGCCTTCTAGAGCTTGGATTATTGGAATACTGGCAATTAAGGTGGAAACTCTATTTTAAATCTTAAACTAGATGCTTGAAGCTTTCAGTAGTTGGTGTCCTCACTTCCTTTTCTATTGCCTCTTATCTTTTCCTATGTGATAAGCCACTCTTATATTTGTTTCTATTTTAGTTGTCCAACTTTGTTTGTGTATGGTCAAAAAATATAAAAAACTGCATGTGTATATCAGTAACATAAAGAGACATGGGTAGGTAAACATTTGGATTGTGTTGCGTAACAATCTTCCTTTAGGTACTTCTATCGCCTGTTAACCGGGCCAGAGCCTTTGTCAACCTTTGAGAAAGACCGGGCTTGGCATGTACCTGAGGAGCTAAATCTTCCAGCTATGCAGGTTGACTGAACAGGTTTCAACCATATGTTCCTGAGTTTAGTCCTACCCAGGATTTTTTATCACGAATTAAAATTTGTTTTGGTCTTACTGCTATGTAGAAAGCGTGCAAAGTTCTCGTTGGGCATCATGATTTCAGTTCTTTCAGGGCTGCTGCTTGTCAGGTTGTTATTTGTCTCCTGGATAAGTAGCGTCAATTTCCTTATTGGTTTCTGTTTATGCAGTGCCCTTTAATTTCTTTTTTGGATGTTTTCAACACTGCTTGATTTAAGTACTTTTAAACTTTTTTGCTTTAAGCACTCTTTTAAATACCTTTTATTTTGTATGTTTGTTTTTTTATGTGTACGTTTGTTTCCTTCTACCATATGCTTAATCGCATGGATAATGGTACACATATGCACATATACAACTTTATCGTTTGTATATAAAGATATATACAGATTACGGGTAAAATAATAATTCAACATGATTTGCTTTGTTGATGAAATTATGTTCTTATGTTATAACTGCCACTTAAGGTAAACAAGACTCTAGAGTCAGCTTTAAATAGAGGCATTGCTAAGATCACCATCATCCTTTAAAATTGATAGGTAGTAGGTAATTACTTGCAGCATATGCATTCTAAATGTGTAATGTGATTGTATAAATGCATTAAAAGCTACTTTGGAAAATGCGATCTTCCCTCAAAAGTATGTCTTTTTTGGGAGTAGTATTAGCAACGCCTTACCATGACCCGTGCCTGAGCTGAAATTTGAGATCTATGACTCTATTCTAGGTTCCTAAGACCAGCTAGTTTAGCTTCATGAAGCTGCAGTCCCTAGATTGGCTTTACAGTATATAATCATTTTTGTCGTAATATGGTAAAACTTGTTTCTCGAACTAAAAACTTTCTATATAGGAGGGGACCTACTTCTGCCCCAAATTGTGATGTTTTTAGCTTAGCCTTGCCATTAAGAATATGGCCAGGATGCTGATTAAATCTGGTTTGCCAAATTTACCATGTTTGTGTTTGTGGTTTATACGCTACATCCTATTGCCTTTGTGCTGTAACACATCACAAATCCATGAAATGAACTGTCATTTGTTTGCTTTCAGGCTATTACATAGTGGTGTGAGTGTTTCCATGAAATGATGTGTGACCAAGTTAAATCAGAGAGAGAGAGAGAAGACAAGTGGTCTCTAGATATGCAAAGACCTTTAGTTTAGGGGTCCAAATATTAGATGTTGATGACTTGAATTGGTGCTGCTCCATACTATTTTGATGTTTCTTTTCCTGAGATACTGATGGAGGAATTTGTGAAGTCAAAAACATTATATTGCTATGATTACTCATGGTTTAACTTAAAATTATGAGGTTGAACCAAAATAGGGTACAATTCATATGACTGGAGCAAGGCAAGTAATTGAGTGGCTAATGTTGCACTTGGATTAGGAGGGATCATTATTGTTGATGGGTGGGTGGATGTTTGGTTGATGGTGTGCTTCCTTTTATGATGGAGTTCGTATGATATTATGATTTTAGGTATAGAATAAAGATGATGATAATGTATTCGATGGTGGTTCTTATAAAAAAAAAAAAGAGATGGTGGTTTTGATGTTGCTGTACAATGTACGTGATGATGGTGGCTTTAATAGTGTTTAGATGGTTTTCCATCAAAAATATAATGTTTAGATGGTTTGTGTTTATATGTGGTTACTTTTTTATTTGTGCGGATATAGGCTTGACATGAAATTGTGTTGAAATAGATCATACAAATGGGTTAAATTAGAGAAGGTTTTTAAAAAAGGGGATCCTACTTTGCATTAGCCCCCCTTTTTTTTGGGGTGAGGGAGGGAATTTAAAGGATTGGGATCTTAGGATTGAATCAAGAAGCACAAGATCCTACAAATCGAAAAAAAAAGGGACCAGCTAATATGTAGAAAAATACATAATTCTTTAAAAAAAAAGGGGCACGAGTGAGAGGGTTAAAATGTATTGTGACATAAATAGAATAAAATGTACAAGGGTAACAATATCAACCAAATAAAAGTAAAATTTACTGAACCTATAAAAGAAACAAAAAAGAGTGAGAGGCTAGTTGAACAAAATAGATTGTTCAACCTTCTTCTCCAATTTTGAATTTCACGCCCTTTTTATTTCTAGGGGTCAATTTCTAAGAAGTTTAATAGATGCCAATTGTACTTTTGGAGAAGAGAGATCATGAAAACACAGATATTGAATTGGAATTCAACGAAATATTTTAAATTTAGAGTGAAAAACAAAGAATTTTCTGGGATACATGAAACAAATTACTAGAGTGAACAAATAGCACACGAGAGAGAGAGAGGAATTGGAGGGTATCAAAATAGCGGGAATAATAGATTTCAAAAATTTGTTATGTTGTTCTAGACAAATCAAAACAAAATTTTAAAGGAAAAAAGTAGGGCAAATTGATGATATAAGAGACATGATCAAAACTTGAGAGTCTAATTTGGATATTGAGGAGGGTACACAACCAAAGTTCATGTTTAAATCTTGTGGGATTTTATGAAGGATTGGAGAATTTGGGTGATTTGATCTTAATTTTTATAGAGAGATGGAGACAGAGAAGAGATTGGAAAGTTGGAAGACTGTTGAATAAATGACCTCTTATTATTTGACATCTAGCAGAAAACCGAGGAGAATGAAGATGGGAGACATACTGGTTATGGTCCATCGCAGTGGGAGAAGAGAATAAACCCAGTGGGTTTTTTCAACTTTTTGATGATAGAGACAGTTAGTTTGTGAAGCAATTAGAGTTAGGGAAGGGAAGGGAAGGGAAGATGAGAGAAGATTAACAGCCGAAGAGAGGAGTTTAAAAGAAGAGAGTAGTGTGTTTGGTGACATAACTATAGTCACAAAATACTAAAACACCTTTAAGCCCTAAGTTAGAATTAACATATAACATAACACTCACCTTTTAAGTTGGTACATAAATATCCCTTATGCCTAACTCGCAAACAATGGGATGAAACTCCATGATACTAGGGCCTTTTGCAAAAAACATCGGCTAACTAGTTTTTTGATTTCACAAAAGGCATGCAAATTAGACCCTTATTTAACTTCTGTTTAATGAAGTGTCAATCAATTTCAGCATGTTTAGCCTTTTTAGGTTGAACTGGATTATGAGTAATGTTGATAGCAACCTTCTTGTCACAATATAGTCTTATAGGTTCGTCATCATAATTTTCTAGATCTCCCAGGATTGTTTGGAGCCACATAAACTCATAGACTCTATGGGCTATTGCTTTGTACTCAACCTTTATACTACACCTCGCTACCACTGTTTGCTTCTTGATTCGCCACGTGACAAGATTTCTTCCAATCAGGGTGCAATAGCATGAAGTAGATCATCTATCATCCATTGAATCTGCTTAATTTGCATCACTAAATACTTTCAGTTTCAAGTGGCTATTGTTGGAGAACAAAATTTCTTTTCCTAGACCTGACTTGAGATACCTCAAAATGCGATAAACAACTTCAAGATTAGAAATTTGAGGATCATGCATAAATTAACTACAACACGTACTATATAAGCAATATTTGGTCAAGTACGTGAAAGATATATTAATCTTTCCACTAGTCTCTGATATCACTCTTTTTTTACTATCTCACTACCACCACCACTCAGTTGATGGTTGACTTTAATAGGAGAATTTGTAGGTCTACATCCTAACATCTCTATCTCTTCAAGCAGGTCAAGGACATACTTTATCTGATTTGGCTACCTATATCCTAAGGATGTACCTCAATGGACTTAAGTGTTTAATTTCAAACTCCTTAGATAACTGAGCCTTCAATTTGGTAACTTCATACTTCTCATTCGCAATTATCACTATGTTATCCATGTTGAAATGTGGACTATAATCCTATTATCAACCCGTCTGACGAACATAGTATAATCAACATGATTCTGTTTATATCCAAATTCCACCATGGCTTTAAGAAACCTATCAAACCAAGATCTCGGAGATAGTTTGAACCCATAAAGAGACTTCTTCAATTACACACCTTCTCTTTAGTTATCGGAGATGAAAAAGTTGGAGGAATCTCCATGTACACCTCTTCTCGCGAGCCTTCATGAAGAAAGATATTTTTAATTGTCCAATTGTTGCAATTTTCACCCCAAATTCGCTATAAAAGAGATAAGAATACGTATGAAATTCATCTTTGCTATAGAAATAGAAGTCTCTAATTGATTCCATATGATATTTCTAAGTTAATTCCTTAGCAACCAACTTAGCCTTGTACCTCTCAACAACCCTATCAACTTTTTATTTAACGGTAAACACCTTACTGCCCTTTGCTCTGGGAGAAATAGGAACCAACTCCCATGTGTCATTTTTTCATTAAGGCTTTCATTTCTTCTATCATAGCTTCAATGAGAGCCTCTTTTCAGCCTTGAAGAATAGACACAAAAGACGAGGAAAAAAAGTACGACAGGATGGAGACAAGGAATTCGAAGAGGTAAAGTTAGAGATAGAATGTTGAGTACAAGTTCTAACATCCTTTCTGTTTGCAATAGTCATCAACATTTGGATTAGCAATAACGAGAGTAATACCTGGAGGTTCATCACTTGATAAATTAGTGGTGGTTGGAGGAGTTGGGAAATTCAAACGATTTGGCAGCTCATGGATAATCTTTACCTTTTGACGTTGAGTATAAATTTTTAGAATATCGTTGTTAAGGTGAGCATCACCATGTGGATCACTATCACATTTTTCCTCCAAAAACTGTTGTCTTATTTTCTAACATTCCATTGAATAGACAATTGAAGAAGAGGCTCCTAACAAAATATCTCCTTCTTTAGAGTGACATTCTCCTCTAGTCCTCCTGAAGAGTTCTCTAGCTAGTAGAAAAAAAGGACCCAAATTCATGAAAGGTGACATCAATTCTAACATACTTTTTTTGAAATTGTGGATGATAGTTTTTGTACCCCTTTTGAGTGGTCGAGTAAAGAGCTCAAGGGTAAAGTTTTCCATGGAGGGTTTGTAATTATGTACAAAACAAACACCCCCAAAAACTTTAGGAAGAAGAAAAGAAATAGAAAGAATGGAAAAAGACTTGGAGAGGCATTGAATATGTGACTTTAAATTGAAGGCCACTCGAAGATAGATGATTAATAAGATAAGCGACGGTAATAACCCCCCCCCCCAAAAAAAAAAAAAAAAAAAAAAGAAAAGAAAAAGAAATGACTGGGGAACATTTATAGTAAAATCAATGAATGAGCAACCTCAAGAAGATTTGAGGAAATCTATTTTTTTTTTTTGCTCAGCAATATCATTTTGTTCATGGGTACTCGTATAAGTGGTTTGATACAGATGTCATTCTCATTGAGGTAAAACAAAATTTTTCATCAATATCTAGCACGAGAAAACTTCACTGCTTTTGCAAAGTAGGTAAATCCAAGTAAGATGAGAACAATAGTCAATAAAGTTGCGAATTAGTGATAACCAGAAATAGACACAACATGAGAATGAATGACAAAAGGAGTAGTGTGTCTATTATTAGTATTAGGATAAGATGAATATTAATGATTGACAAATTTACAAGCATCACAAGTAAAAAATTGTTTACTACACTATTTTACTAGACTAGGAAAATGATAGTCTAAGATACCAAATGATGGATGTCCCCCACTAATGTAAGAGCTGAAAAGGCTAAACACCATTTGCGTGGAGAGTTTGACAAGTAGACTAAGGAGAATCTTTAGCATCCAACGGATACAGACTACCATGTACTTTACTACTGTCAATCATTTTTCTCGATTCTAGTTCCTGAAAGCTACAAAGGTTTGGAAAAAAAGTCATTGAACAATTCAAGGATTTTGTTATACTACTAACAAACTTTAAATTGGTGGAGAAATTGGGAATATAAAGAAAAGAGGAGAGGCATAAAGAGGGTGACTAGCTAATATTGCACCTTCCCTGGAAATAAAGGATAAAGATTCATTTGTCACCTTGATTTTGTCCATACCAGAACATGTAGAATATGAAGAGAACAGGCTAAAAAAACTTGTCATATTATCCGTAGCTCCAAAATTTATTATCCAAGGAGTATATGAGGATGGCGTAGTAAATACATTAGTAGATATACTTGTATAAACAAAGTTGGGGGAAGAGACATGATTAAATGCCGTAGTAGAGGGAACATCGAGCTGAGCCCTCAGACTCCTAAGAGTCTGCATCTCATCTTGAGAAAAATGAGAGGGAGTATACGAAAATGAAGTTTTTAAAGATTCAACCATGTTTGCATGAGATCGCATATTACCCCCTCAGTGACAACCTTGGCCACGTATAGGACGTGCAGTCTCCAACAAAACTTCCTAGTATGCTTGAACTTACCACAATAGTTATATTTTAAAGTATCCTTAGCCATATTGCCACTAATCTCAGTAGCCTGGGGTAAGGCTAAACTCAAGTCACATTGAGGGATAACAACCAACGCAGATTGTTTCTAAATAGGGGGCATAAACCATAGTAATCCTCCAGCTTTCCTCTTGCTAAACGTGGGCATAGGTTTTTTGTCAGTAGGAAATGAACTACGAGTTAAAATTTGAACTCGAATCTTATCATACCCAATATTAAGACCAACAAGAAGACTATACACATTCCTTTTCCACCCTTTGCTAAAATTTTACAGCATCCTTGGCATAATCTATTTGGGAATTTTGGTAGTAGTCAAACACCTGGCACAAGGTAGTCAACTCTACATCATAGGTGACAAAGGTCTTATCTTTTTGATTAGTCTCTTGGCTTTCTTGCGAAGATCATATGCCTTAGCGTCATTGCCTTGCTCAAAATGCGTATGAGACGCAATAGGCGAAATCTTATGTGTTTTATCAAGTAACATAAAACCATGACTGCTAAATGGTTGCATTGAGTTAAGCAATCAAGACATAATCAAAGCATTCTCAGATGTTCGCTGCCTTAAAAAGATACTTGATTCACTAAGTTTCTTAGTCCTTATAGTCAAATACACATCCAAGACTATCGCATGGACTAATAATAAATAGGCCAGTGACCATGCCAAATAGTTCCCTCCCATCCAATTTATCAAGTTTAATTTGGTGAGAAGGGTTATTTGCTAGACCACCCAAATGGCTTAATCCACTTTTTATAGTACTTACCCCGACATACTACATTTCGACATGTTTGGTTAACACAAAATATGAATCAGTCACGGAAAAACATGGCTGAAAAAGTAGACCACAATCAGAAAACAACTCCAATAGTAGCCAAACGATATCTATGTAACAATTCAAAGTAGATAAGGGTCGAACAACCTCAGGACAATAACCAGGGTGAAGAACATGTCGCTCATCTGGAAAAACAGTACAGTCGATAGAGAGACCAAGGCAAAAAAGTCACAAATCCTCCAAAGTGCAACAAGGACCCTTGGGTATCATAGATCTCCCTTAGTTGGGACTCACAAAGTGGATCTAAACCAGAAATGAGCCCTAGAGCACTCAAAAAGCCAGATCTAAAGTCAAAATCGCAATCAACCTTGGAATCATCTCAAAACTGATCAATCTTCAACAAAATTGCATGGGTGATGTACATCCACCTAAGTCGGCCTTACTGAGTCAGATTGAATCAAAAAAATAGTCGCGAAGTCTTAGAAATCACAGATCTGAGTTAGAACTCGAAAAAAAGTGAAAAAGCTTCAAAAATTCGAAAACTCCATCAAATGATCACCATAAAACTCAAGACATCCAGCCTATCAATAATTGAAAAAATAAAAAAATTATGACACTGTTCATCGTTGGCATTAGCATGTCAGACGTCACAAGATGACGTCAACCACTGTGATCAGATCCAATAATTTTTGAAGATTTTTGACAACTTTGAGGTTTCAAATTTGGATTGTTTTTTGATACCAAGTTAGATTGTAAATTAATTAAGGTTAGGAAAGAGAAGACAAGACTAAGAAGAGAAGAGAGTAGTGTGTTAGGTTACACAAAAGCACCCTTCTTTTGTATATAGTCGCAAAATAATGAAAATTTCTTAAGCCCTTAAGCTAGAATTTACAAATAACATAACCGAGACGAATGGAGGGAGTTGTCTATAGCTTTTCTCACATACTGAAATTTTTATATGAAACTAATCGCATATGATTTGAGTCTTTTTGTATTAACATAATAAATGTGGACTTGGTCCGCTTAATAACTAAAGGCAACCTAACAACTTGGATCAGTAAAATCTTAATTGGGATCGGGATACCACGAATCTACACTAGTTGGATATTGACCAATTATGATTCTATAAACCATTAATTTGATTGTTCAATTGGTTCGGATCAGTTTGTGTATACCGAAACATAGGATGGTGGGATCGTAGGATCTAGATCTTTTTATTAACATGTTAAAAAGACAATTTAATCAGTGTTGGTATGTGGTTTTTCCGCACCTTAAATAAGGTTTAATTGGACAGAAAGTCAATTTTAATTATAAGTTTAATTTTCTTTATTAATTTTCTGTTTACTTCCACAGTTTAATTATTGCTTATACATGGCTAATTTTTGCCTTTATATGGTTAGAATTTCATTGTCAATTTGTTTTACTTATTGAAAAAATTTGGGTTGCAATTATGCTTGTATGTAGTTATTTTTGTATTTAACTTCTTAACTTGCTAGGCTGTACTTTATGTTAAAAAGTATATTTTTAAGTATGAGAATAGTGTGGTAATTCAGCTTTTTCCATGAACCACCTTCGTTGCTAAGGGGGTCTACCTTATATATGGACGAACCTCGGGGGAGGTAGATGGAATTTTACTAAAATTAACGTTTAATAATGAGACATAATATTCTCTCTCTCTCTCTCTCTCTCGATGTTGGTCTCTCGTTGACTTTTTACTCGTTGCAAACAATTCCGTCTCAATTCCTTAATGGTTGTCAGGCAAAGTCGCCCATCCGAACTTTGGATGAACTAAATGTTACTGAGGTGGTTTCAACTCCATGTTTTCCATCTATCATAGAGAGGGAACAAAGTAGCGACATGGAAGAAAATGCTTTCATCTGCTCCAACAAATCAGAGACTCATCTGCTTCATAGTTCTTTGACTCCCAATCAAGTTAAGATAGAAAGCCCCATTGGTGAAGCTAATCAAGGATTTGGCATGAGAAGAAAGCATCATTGCTTTGTGGTGACTGCTCGGGCACGCTCTTTTCTGTACCACCAGGTGACTTCTGTCTCTACCACATCTGACTTTTTTTTTCGCTGTCTAAAGTCTTGAACTTACTCAACTAAATGGGAATGCTTCTGACTTCTAAAACAAAGAAAACATAAACAAATAATACCAAAGGTGCACTAATTTGAATGAAAAACAAATTAAGACTTGACTCAACTACCATGGGGCTTTCCATTGGATGAAGAAGTCATATAAAGTGGTATGTAGCCCTAGATCTTTTGTTTTGGGCTTCCAAAGTGGATGTCCTCTCCACGTGCGATGATTACCATTTATAATTGAAACAATTAGGAAATGAGGGAAATAAGTATATTCTCACACTTGTATATAAATATATACAAACGGAAAGGTGAATATCGGAGCACAATAACGAGGAACAGTGTGAGGTTGAATTGCTGCTGAAGTCTCCCTTACCCTTATTTCTGCAACATGAAAATTTATATCACAACATTCAGACTAGCACATTCAACTTCTAGTTCACTCTCTGAATGATATGATGTCTGCCTGCACCTTATTCTCTTAATGTACAAAGTCATGGGTACAAAGCTTTAAGAGTTTCAGATTTGTCCTGGCAGACAGATTTTACAGTGTATTTTGGAGTAATGTTTCAATAAAATATGAGCTTTTTATTATAGCTGCCAGTGTGTCACTCTTATATTTTAGCTCAAAGCTGGTCTACTTAATGGGTCACTGTTATATTTGATGGTGATTATGTTATCCATGGACAAATAATCAAACAAATGAAATAGGTTTTCAAGTGCTTAAGTAGTGCGATGATATAACATCATGCTCGCATTTTATATATCATGCAGTTACACAGGAAGACAATAATAATCTATCCGGAGTTAATTTAGCGTGCACGTTTGGCTTTGTTAATCTTTTCCTAGATATGATTTCGGTCTTGGATCTGTTCTAAATGTTTTTATTAGCTTTTGACCAGGTTAGATTGCTTGTTGGTGTCCTTAAATCCGTTGGCACTGGGGATCTCACGGTTCCTGATGGTACAGTTACATTAAGCTCTGTTGGCTGGTTGAATATGGAGACTGCTTTTATATGTTAGCACTAATTTTATTGTTTTGTATCTAATGCATCTTTACAGTTGAGCGCATCCTGGAAGCAAAGACGGTGACTTCTGCAAGCCCCATGGCTCCTGCATGTGGTCTTTACCTTGGACATGTGAAATACGATCTGCCTTAGAGACATAACCAGTTATGCCAAGTTTCTCAGGGAAGTTTCATGAGCGTATGGCCGTTAGTATTTCACTATAAATGTTGGCACATACATGTATGTCAGTGCCATACCTATCCTTGCCTTCAGCTATTTATCAATATCGTTCTCCCAACAATGAAATTTTTATGGATGCTGCGTTTCGCTTAATTGATGGAATGAGGTGGCAGGTTTTAATTGTTTATGTTAATAGTTATACTCTCATCCTTGTTTCCTCAGAGAGAGAGAGAGAGAGAGAGAGAGAGAGAGAGAGAGAGAGCACATAATTTACACCAGAACTGGCGTGGCTGAATAGAAGGATGACTAGATAGGAGGGTGAGCTTTACATCTTCAGCCCTGCGTTAACCCTCATCCCATTGACCTTTTTTAGACTTGTCATTACAAATGTAACTTTGTCTCGGCTCAATTACTTGCAAACTGCTCAAGTTTATGCTTTGCTACGTAATTGATCTGCAACGACCATAACAGACTACATCCATATAGATACAGGCAGTTTCTTGATCCAATCCAAGAGTAAATGGAACGAGTGAATAGTTTCAGACGCCATCACTATCTCCTGTGTTGGGGGTTTGGATACTAATCGGTATATCAATACTGATTTGATTCGATTCGGGTGCCCTTTTATTGAATTGCTCATTCAATGAGCATTCTCAATATTGTAGATACAAGTTTCTGACCTCTATGATTGATCCATTGCTAAAGAAAATTAAAAGAAAGTGGAGGGATTGTGAATCTGATTTAAGAATACTCGCATCGGTCGTTATAGAAGCCAGTGCAAACAAAATGTCGTATCCTCTCGGTCCGATGGCTGATTTTAAAAATATGCCTCTCTCTCAACCATTTACCAGCACCATTCAGGACCACAGAGGACCTATGCTAGCAAATAGTATTCATAAATTTGAAATGACTTTAAAACCTCGTTTACAAGTATAATTACTGATGGTGGTACTGTTTTCCAAAAGAAAACAGAAATTTCTTTTGAAATTAGTACCCTAAAAAAAAAGGTTTCAACAGCCATTCAACTTAAAAGAATACTATTATTTGAGGGAAAATATCATACAACCCCAATTTGTATTCCAAAAGGACGGTGATCATTGAATGAGTGAGTTTTATCAGTTATTTTAAATGAGAACCATTGATCCGATAGTTCTTATTGATTTGAGATGTAAATTTGAGTTACAAATTTAAGTTTCATAGCATTGCTTTTATTTGAGTCTCCAACAATTACATATCCAATCTGACTTATTGACAAATATGTAATCATGATAACTTATAATGTTATTCTATCTCTCTCATAACTTTTGCTTGCATTGTATTATTTGGATCGATAACATTCAAGTTTATGCAGAATTTTACTCGACAATTACCTATAACCAGATCTACATTAACATTAAGACAGCCAAGCCTTCATCCAAAAGAAAAACATATCCAAGCCATGTCAAACTGATCAATTCAGCTATATCATATTTATTTTGTCCACACTTCCACATAAACCCTTTACGACATGCCAAAAGAAACAATTAAGCTTCTTAACTAACCAACCAAACCACCAAAGGAAACAGTCACATGAATCTCCATTTGTTACATGTCAAGAATTACTGCCACTAAGCAAAACAGATCAATATAAATCCTGCGGCCAAAGAACTAAATTTCGTTTTAAAACGATCAAAACATTTCCTTTACACAGAAACCGAAACATATCATTAATTCAATATCAAAATTTCAATGTTTCAAGATGTTTTAAGGTATTTCGGTAAAAGTTCGTCCAGTGTTTTGAAAATAATTTTTCAAATTTTTCTTTATTTTCATTTTGTTTCGGAAACATTACCAAAATGTTTCTATTTCCATGCTCATTGGAACGAAATTTTAATCATTGCTTGCAGCACATTAAACATAAAAGATGTCTACAAAATTAAAAGTGCGATCCACTCTGTACATCCTTTTAATAAATTGCCAACAAACAAAAACTAAAAATTAGTCATAAAAGTAGATCAACTTTGCAAATGAAAAATAGAGACTGCCGCAATGCATAAATAACTGGCAAAACTATAGCTCCAGCTATTCTGAGATGAACTTATCAAAGGTTTCATTGAACTACAGCACACCTCAACACATACTCCACACCACCCCCTCAAACCCGGAGGAAAAAATAGAAAAAGTGCGAGAGCGCTTTCTTACTCAGAAAATTGTAGGCAAGCTTTTAACTGATCAAAGGAACCTGTCCAGCCTACAAACAAAATTGTTCCTTTCAAATAAAACAGAAAGGTATGAACAACGTACTTAAAAAAAATATTGGATAGCATAAACAAAAATGAAGACAAAAAAAATCAAAAAAATACTATTTGAATAAAATAAAATAAAAAGAATATTACTTCTATCGATGTCAGCGCTCGCCTAGTTGGTGCGTGCATTCTGCATCTTTCCTTTCTTCCTTGCACGTGTCTGAAATTCGTCAATTAATGTTAATTCATAGTGCGATAAAAATGAAAGCCAAATATTTAAACAACTCCATGATTTCACAAAAATAAGGAAAGAGAAACTATTCACCTCATAAGATGGTGCCTCATGGCAAGATGGTGTGGAGTGGACTCGATGCTGTGGAGAACCCTCAGAACCATTAGAGGTGTTGGCAACCTATCAGAAATAAACGAGTTTTAAAATTTGACTTCAAAGGCAATAACTCCTTATAAATAAGCAATAACTTTATAATAGGCATAACTTTAAAAGTGCAATATATTCTGATATAATTAAATGCGACATCTCAGAAACCCGAAAGATTGGATGATGAACCTACATCAGTCTGATTCTTGTCAGGGAACCTCGTTTGCATGTTGGACATCATTGACATCATTGTAGCCATCTGCGCTGCCATCTGAGCACATGTCTGCTCCATAGCCACCATTCTTTGCTTCACCTCGCGTACCTCCGCGTTAGCCTCTGAGACCATCCTAATGGCCTCGGCACGTGTGGGCTTTGCAACCCCAATATCAGAAGGCGAGGGACCCAATCCAAAATTGCGGATGGGACCATGTCTATCTTCTCCCATGACTTGAGAGAAGATGTCTTTCTGGACAGTGCTGTTCTGTGAAGTCTCTTGCTGTTGAGTTGCTCGTTCACGGAGACGTTCCTGCAATGAGTTTTGAGTGTTTAAACTCGACTACCAATCAACTTTTGTGAATAGAATACAACATTATTTAATAGCTAAATTGCACAATACGAAACTTATGCATACAATCAGAGCCGATGATGCCTCATTTACAGGCTCCCCATTTTTGCGTGTGCGAGTTAATATGAATAACTCTGCCCGCGATGGCTCCTTCCCATCAGGCCTCTTTTCCCGCTATCCTCAATAACCAACAATATGTCAATGCATTATTACAAAAATACAGACAAATACCGATACCAACCAATTTTAAGTCCTTAGAGTACGAAGTTACCTGCTCCTCACGTATTCGTGCAAAGCTCTTTTGCCCTGTTGTGTGGTTAAATTTCTGCTGAGCACGATTAGCCCTATTTGTAGCACTGCGTTTCTATAATCCAACACTCATATTCAATGGCACAATTTGTGTGTAGAACAACAGTAATATTTAGAAATGAAAGCCCCAAATTAGATAAGTAATATCATATTTTACACAATGGTAGAATGTGAAACTTATTATAATATTCAGTACATACCTCTACTTCCTCAGAATTCCAATGCAATATAAGGTTTGACCACTGATCCGGAAGGACCCTCTCATCACGGTCTGCTAGCCTCTCCTCATCAGTTGTGTGGGTGATATAATGGGCAGCCTTCAACTTGGCCTTCCAGTCTTTCCATTTTTTGCCAAGGGACTTCAGGACCCAAGTTTTACCTTTGGGGTCAATGTCAAATTTTGGCTGCATCAGATACGGGGACCATTGAACCGCTTACAAAAAAAAATTACAAAGAGGGTGCAAAGAATAAAAGCAAAAATATTTCCGTGCTACCGGAACTTGCTGCCACATGTTTTCCTTGTTTGCATCTGGCATGGCCTTCCAATTGATGTAAGTAAGGGGTGCCAAGTGCCCATCCCGTGCCAGGGTGCCGAGGAAGCTGGTTAGTTTTTGTGCCTCAGGGCCAATGGGCTGCCCCAGTTCATTGATGGTAACAGATATCCGCTTGCCATCTCTCCACAGTTTGAGGCACCGCGTGGGGCCCCGACCTTTAGTCCTTCTTTGCACGGGAGTAGAATCTATTTCAAAACGAAATAGAGAATGAACATTAACATACTGTGTAGGCCATATTCATATAGATATACTTAAATGCAGATAAGATGAACCTGACAAGACAACATACCAGAACTACCAACATCGGCCTGAGGAAGGGAAGCTTGTGGCTCGCTAGAGCTGGGTGGGCACTGGTAGGATGTCTGCTGGGGCTGATATGCATGGCTGTAGGTTGACGAGGGCTGGTGGGACTGTACTTGGCATGTGCTGGGGTGGTCCTGCTGCTGGTGGCCAAGGTTGTCAGTAACCAGGCCTCCTGGGCATTTCTGCTCACATTTGCAACTCCTCATGGTAAACTCCATAGGAGGAGGTAAGTGTGAATGCCTTTCAACAACTACATATAAAATCAATAATGTTTAGTAGTTGAAAAACTGTAGCTTATGTAAATGTATCTGGTGTGATATTCCATTCCGAAGAGTTGGCTAAATAGAAAAATTGGTAGGCAGAGCCACTTGTAATATAGTTTCTTGTATAACTCAAGAAGTGAATGTGCATGCAAATTATCTCAATTGAGGTCCTGAATAAGAAACAAAAGGGTATAACCACAATGTTTCAGTCGAAAGGTGAGCTAACTCCGTCCATGTGCAGCTACTAGTGGATCATTAAACACCTTTATTTTTGAATTGGCATGGAATTAAATACTAAGTATTAGAGTCTTTCAACATCTATGTTTCATCTATAATATAAAACAGGGCAGACTTCAATAAGTTCATTTGACGGTCTCAAATAGACTCATCCAACGGCTACCAACATCTATCTCAAAACCATTCATATTGCACTGTAGCTTCAGATACGGGATACCCCTAGTTTGAAAATAAAGGGCAGCACCTATTTGGTACACTAACAGAAAGAAAGTGTTGTGCAAGCCCAAACTAGTTGGTCCTTCAGGAGCAGAATCTAAGGGGTGCTTACAAAGAAAGCAAGTGGATCACCTATATGCTCCAAAGCTATAGCACCACCTACCAGGATTTTTATTTTGCTAATAATTCACCTATCTGGAGATTTGAACTTTGAAGGCAAGTAATAAATGTATGGAACAGTGCTTACCGAGGGCTCAACAAGGAAAAGTAGCAATGTCTTGATCCCATGAACAAAGCCATATGCTTAGGTAAGACATCAGTCTATCCTCAACATTAGGCCAAATTTTCTTCACTTTGGACCAGCGTTTGTTAATGACAACTACGATCATTAATAATGATGTGTAGATCTACAGATCCATGAAATGAAAGCACTTCATTACTGAAATGCTATGCATCAAGTATCATGAAGTACAAGAGATGGTAATGAAATCATGACCCATTGTGTGACACAAAATAAAAAGCATATAACACAAGAAGATATGTATCGTATCATGTGCTAGCCCTACCGTGCTACTAATGGACATCAACTAGGTTGACCTAGTAGACTGTTTGATCAGCCCTACCATGCTACTAATGGACATCACCTAGGTTGACCTAGTAGACTATCTGATCATTGAATACCTCGCTTTTTTCCTTCAGATATGAAATGACTTCTGAACTTATTAAGGGCCTTTAAGGGCTACATAATTCATCTGGAGCTTGAATTGTGCTTTATACCCTAAGACAAAGCAATAGACCTGCAGATGGAGATCGTATAGGAATTGAATAGATATTTTAGATTAATTATGATATTTACTTGGATACTTTTAGTATTTATCTTTTAAGTAATTTTTTTTAACTTTTGAGAGTTTATTTGTTATTTTTTATTTGTTTTAAGGTTTTAATTTCCTTATATAAAAGGATGCATGTAAGACTTTTCTTTAAATTAGACTTTGATTATTATTGATTACTGATATTGAATTATGATATTACTTCTTCCTCAAATTCTCTCTTTTTCCTTATTCCTTTTTTTTTTATTTTTTCATCCATTTTTCTTCCCTTCTCATCCCTAATTCTTCCCCACTACGATCTACATCAATTTGATATCAGAGCCAAACTTCGATTCGTACAAGTCACAAAATCTCAGCAACACTGTTCATAAAAATAAATCAGATCTCATCATTGCCCAAATCTACTTCTTCATTGTTCTGTGCATCATGGTTTGGTGATTGATTTCATCGTTTGCTTCTTTGTTTTGTGCTATCGCTGAGCTTGGTGCTTAGGGTTTTAGCTACAGGCACGATAAAGAAGGAGAAGAAGTTATACTGCCAAAAGTTCCAGAAATTAAAAATTCCAAAAAAGTTCCAGAATTATAGAAACATCTCCAGAAGTTCTAGAAAATTACAGAATCACTCCATAAATTTCAATAAATTACAAAAATACCATCCAAAAGCTTTAGAATTACAAAAACATCCCCAGCAGATCCAAAAAATTGTAGAATTACCCTAAAAAATTCAAAAAATTACAAAAACATCACCCCAAAGTTTCAAAAATTGTAAAATCATCCCTAAAATGTTTTAAAATTTTCTCTTGATTATGGTATGCATACTCCCATAGAATTTGTGACTAATATTTTTGTTCATTGAAAAATTAGAGAATTTGCAAAGGGTCCAAAATATATTTTCTTCTATTTAAACTTTCTCACTTCTTGAAATTGTCAATTGCATTCTTGAACTTGTTCTTATACCATTCTTATCTTTCAAGAGTCACTCATGAGTTCGTCTAATGCACATGTTTCAAGAGTCTCTCGTTGAGGTCATCATCAGAGGAAGTCAAAGATGTTTACATGGAGTCAACCCATATGACCAAACTAGTCAAAAAAATTTCTATATTTAGTGGCACTTTAGATCCTTTTGAATTCTTGGATTGGTTAGCTAATTTAGAAGAATATTTTGATCGGCATGACATGTCAGATTCCCATTGCGTTCATTTTGCTAAATTGATATTGGAGGGTTCCGTCAAGCGGTATTGGCAAGCAATCCAAAGAAGCCTAGATAGCTTAGGAGAGTCTCCTATCACTTGGGTTGAAATGAGATATAAATTGAAAGAGAAATATTTGCCTACTTCCTACACGAATCAATTTTATGACCAATGGCTCAATCTTAGACAACAGTCTTCTAGTGTCTCTGATTACTTTGTCCAGTTCAATTATGTCATGTACTCGTGTGACATTGTTGAAGAACATTAGACAATTGATTAGTTTATTCTTGATCTTAGGTTGAGACAAAAAATTAGTAGAGAGGTAAAGTTATACATTTTCAATACATTAGTTGCAGTCTATCAATATGCTCTAAAGGTTGAGAGATTTCTTAAAAAATCAAACTATAGCTTGATGGGTTCTCAACCATAGTCTGTTAAACAGCGTGACAGAATACCTTCTACTTTTAATCCCATCACATATGAGTATCATGATTCCTTGAGCGATATCCATGTTGTTTCTGCATACTTTCCTAATCCGAATGTGGCAAAAAATTTAGATATGCTAGATCGAATAAAGAGAAAAATGTTACTCATATTGACTTCTAACTCCCTCATTTAGTTTCATCAGATTAGAGTCCTCTTTTGCACCCACAAGAGTTCATATCAAAAGAAAGTGTGTGCGAGTCTTTGCTTGTGTCAATTCTTGAACCATTATTGGTCGTAAAAATTATGAAAAAATCTATTGAGTCTACACCTATGCAAGATATTAAGCCTGTTAAGTGTAGAGAGTTAACACAATATTAAAGAGAAACAGAGAAAGGTTAAAAACTTAACCTAACTCTCATACATCACTTGTATTTATAGTTAACTTCACAATAATAAGAATTACACATACACCCTCTTACTATTAATAATACTACCCTACTATTCTTAACACTCCCGCTCAAGCTGGACTATATATATATCATATAATCCAAACTTGGAACAAATGGCTATAAAATGTGTACGACTCAATGTTTTGGTAAACATATCTACAAGCTGATTTTTAGATTTCACAAATAGAGTTATAATCTACCCAACTACTATCTTGTCCTGAATAAAGTGACAATCAACCCAATATGCTTGGTTCTATCGTGAAACACTAGATTAACAGCGATATGGATAGCTGCCTGGTTGTCATAGAACAACTGTAAAAGAAGTTGAACTAGAAACCCAATTTCCTGGAGGAAGTGTAGTAGCCAAGTCAACTCACTCGTCGTATGTGCCATTGCCCTATACTCAGCCTCAGCATTGATTGTTTTTTACTCTTCCATGAGACAACGTTACCTCCTAAAAAAGTACAATAATCAATGGTTGATCTCTGATCAGAAGGAGAGTCAGCCCAATCAGCATCTGAGAAACCTTTCACTCTAAGATGTCCATTAGCTCGATAAAACAGTCAAAGTCCAGGAGCTCGTTTGAGATATCGCAAAATACAAGTAACTGCCTCCCAATGTGGTATTCTAGGACACCCCATGAACTGACTTACTATACTGACTATATAAGAAATATCCGGTCGAGTAATAGTGAGATAATTGAGCTTTCCAACTAATCTGGAATATCGACCCGGATTCTCAAACAGTGCACCATTATCCATCCAAAATTTTTGATTCAGATCTATAGGAACATCAATAGGTTTGCCACCCAGCAAACCTACTTCCTCTAGTATGTCAAGTACATATTTCCTCTAGGATAAACAAATACCCTGTTTAGATCGAGTCACCGCAATACCCAAGAAATACCTGAGTTTTTTCAAATCCTTAGTATGAAATCGATCATGCAAGAAAATTTTTAACTTGGTAATCCCCTCAGAATCATTTTCAGTAATCACAATATCATCTACATAGACCACCAATAGAAACACAAAATGATTTGTCTGACATCGAAGCAGACCAAACTCTAAAACTGCATCTGAAAACTTACCAAACCATGCCCTCGGTGACTGCTTCAAACCATATAAAGATTTTTTTAACCAACATACACTCTTACCATACTCCTACTGATCAGTAAACTCAGGTGGCTACTCCATGTATACCTCTTTAACCAAGTCACCGTGTAGGAAGACATTTTTGACGTCTAATTGAAAAAAAGACCAATCAAGATTAACAGCCAAAGAAATCAAGATACAAATCGAGAAAATTTTGGCAACAGGAGAGAAAGTCTCCTCATAATCAACACTATAAGTCTTAGTAAAGCCCTTTGCAACAAGCCAGACTTTGAGACGCTCCATAGAATCATCCGGATGAAGTTTAATCCCATACACCCAACGATAACCAACAATTCATTTACCAGGAGGTAAAAGAACGAGATCCCAAGTCCCGTTATGATGTAAGACATCCATCTCTTCCTCCATAGCTTTCCTCCAACCCAAATCAGATAATGCATCCTGTAAATGCTTAGGAATAGATATAATACATTATTTGAAAGTAAAACAAGAGAAGGCAGGAGACAAGGCATCATATGAAACAAAATGAGCAATACGATGATTAGTAACACACAAACGAGTATCTTTTCAAATAGCAATAGGTAAAGAGTCTAAATTATCTGATGTACTAGGATCAAAAGGCGACAAGGAAGACAGTACGGGCACCTCCGACGATGGACGAGGACGGCGAGAGTAGACACAGAGAGGTAAAGTAGATAGTAACACAGTGGGCAGCGGAATATCTGAAGATGAGGAAAGAGATGGTGGTACAAGAGATGACCCAAGTCCAAATCCAAAGGCTGAGAAGGTGGTGAAAAATATGGAACAGATTCTTCAAATGTGACATCGGCACTAGTAAAGTATCAGCGCAGAGAAGGACTGTAGCAACGATACCCCTTCTGCGTGCGGGAGTAAC